AGCAGCCCGGTGACAGACAGCCCGAGCAGCACTTCGCCTTGTTGTGTTTTATGGAAAAGCTGACCGTGCCCTGAGAAGTAACTCCTTTTATACAGCAGGGCTTGAGCTGTCCTCGGAAAGGTCATATGAGATCGATGGGCTGCTTTATTAGAAAATTAATCCTTCTTCTGCGCTTCTTGTTTTAAACTCGTATTTGCTTTCCAAGCAAGGTCACTGCTCAGCTGACCAACTTTTTAACAACTGGAAAAAGCATGTTTGCTGCTCCGAACCTGGCTCTCAGCACGGGAAAAGATGCTTTTGAGGAAGGGAAGCGCTTCTTCTCCCCGGTGGGCTTGTAGGTGGGAGCATGAGAAGGTAACACGACAAGATGCTTTTCTAACGATAGTTTTTCCTTTCGCCACGAAGTGCTAAAGCCATTGCTGCAGTGCAGGAGAACACGACAGGCAGAGCACAAAAAAAAGGTTGTGTTAGAGCTAATGAGACTGTGCTAACGTGCTGCTCAGCAGGGATGAATTATCTTCTTGTTTATAGGCACAGGGTTAAACGCTTCCAATTTAAAATGACTAGCGAGATGCGCAGGGAGAATGCAATTAATATGTATTTGTATTCATGGTTGAATGAATTTGTTCTTTAAATCTTCCGAGGTGTAACAGGGCTCTCCTTTCTGCTGGTTGGGGTGGGAGGGGGAGCAGGCGAGTGCTTGCATTGCCCAGCAAGTGGGATGGAGTAAAAAAGGGGTTAAATGGGTCTGTAAAGAGCCGGTGTTTGAACTAGGACTAGTTAAAAGGACTGTACATGGTCCCTGCAAAAGGGCTGCCGCAGGGGATAAAAGCACTTCACTCTGTTCTGTTGCCTTCTCACATATCTGGCTTCTTGATTTCCAGTTCTGTATATGTTTATTCCTGCCTTGAGAAAAGCAGTGTAATTCAAATCTGGATTAATCCTCCCCACAGCCTTGCTGTGTAGTAAAGGTGAAAAATCGGTGATGCTGTGCACGTGGAACTGTCGCCTGCCTGGAGAAGAAAATAAGTGCTCTTCAGTTTTATTCAATAGAGGAAAACTCAGCAAATATAGAACCCAACAGGGGTTCAGAGTAACAGGTATTAGCAGAATGAAGACCCACCTGAAAGTACTGCCCTGCCCCAAATTGTGGGACAGACCCTGGGTGTATGGCTACACTTCTTCTGGCAGATTACTTGATTTTTAAATGTCATTTCTATTAGGGACAGGGATCAGAGAGCAGCTGTGGGGTCCAAGGAGCCACGTTTTTTGACTCAAAGCCATCTGCCTCACACCTGACCTGCCCCAGGGGGAATATCAGCAAGCTGGTAGGGTATGTTCAGCATCCTTTTACGAGACGATTTTGAAGTAAGATTAGTCAAAAGAGAGAAGGTTTAGTAGCAATTTGGGCTGCAGAGTTGAGGCCTGGCCAGCTTGTAAATAAACCGATTAGATGTAATTATCTACATATTAAAAAGCATCCTATTCACTGGCTTTCCCTCCCACCCCCAAATAAATGACTGAGAAGAGTGAAGTGTAGCTGGTCAGACTGTAGCTGGGATCTGTAAGTGCTCTGTAATTGACTGTAATTGGAAAATAAATTTAAAAAAACATTTGAGGAAGAGGTTAGCTTTCATTTAGGTACATGCTATTTATTGGCAGGAGGAGACAGAAGAAATTGTCATTTATAAAAGAAGTGCATTTAATTGGAGAGCACATCAGGAGGCCCCTGGTCAAAGTGTTCCAGAAGCTCACGTAGCCTTGGGTGAGCATCAGCATTGCCGTCTGGCTGCACGAGCATCAGGGAGATACCAAACCTGGAGGAACTTCTGAGAGTTTTGATGGGACCTTTGTGTTGGGACCTTTCAAACTTTCCATCTGGGCTATACGTTGACTTTAAACTTGGCTACCTGAATGACACACCTAACTGTTTCTTTCAAAGTGTCCATCCTATGATAACGCTACAGTAGGATTTGGCTTTGTTTTCTCACTGGTCTTCACTGTAGTTAAAACACATCCTGTCAGTGCTTCTAGAATAGAATAACAGCAGCATTGCTGTGCTTTCTGTATCCTTACCTGTGTCGCGTATCCAGATATCTTGCCATTGCCACGAGAAGAGAGATGCGTTGCACAATGCAAAAAATACTCACATGAGAAAAATTGAATTTAGAAGCTGCAGAGTGGAGAAGACGAACAAGACTTCTCTCGAGATGGTGAATGAACCAGAGGTCTCCAGAGATGCTTCTGCTGGTGGGTGCTGCAGAAGAGAAAATAGAAAGTGAGAGGTAGAGGTTGGCTGAAGCCCCTTTGTAGGGATCTCTGGAAGTGTAGTCAGGTACTAAAGCCCTCGCTTAGGCAAAATACTATAAGCAGAAAAGGAGTTGAGCCTCTGACAGTTTGATCAATGAGATGGATGGGAGATGGATTCTGGAATAAATAGTCCTGGCCATGTCCCCAGCTGCCTGGGGCTGGCTCGGCGCAGGCTCTGTGCTCCTTGGTCCTACCTCTGAAAATCTTGCATAGCTCAGCAATGCTGTGGAGTAGCAAGGATGGACTTCCAGGCTTCTCTGGGACTGGGAACCAAATTAGATATTCGAAGGAAAAATCCTAAACAAGCAACCTTGAGCTCAGCCAAGAACCCCTCACTTTCCCCCCCCCCATAGCAGGAATTAAAAGACAGTCTGAGCAATGTTGTTTTTCTCATGCAAGTCAGGAAGCCTCCTGCTGTGATGTCCAACTGCCTCAACCTCCTTCACCTTTGCCTGCCTCCTCCCTGTGTCTTTCTAAATGGCACAGAGGAGAGAAGCTTCATCCAGGACATTGCTTTTGTTGTTCCCATGCTCCAGGAGGGTCTAACCCACATCCACATGATGGGAAAGAGCTGGAGGGCAATACAGCCCAGGAAGGATGTGAAGTTTGCAACGTAGGCGGTGGAAGATCTCAGAGAAAGTCTTCCCTGATAGGGAAGGAATTTGTCTGAGCTTTAATGCAAATTGCTGAAGGTTCTTTATAACAGTATGGACGTGCTCCGAAATAACAATTTCTGTTTGAACAAGACTCACCGTAAATTTTGAGTCTTTGGTTGTTATGGATTTAAAAAAAAATTAAAAAGTGACCAACCAGTCATTTCTGTGTATAGTTTATATCCCTTGCTCTTCTCAGGGACATTATGTTGGATATATCCAGCTTACAGGAGTCGATGAAGAGTCCTTGTGCCATCTATCTCAAGCCGGTAGAAATTATCCTAAATGTCTGTCTCTCCTCATTTGCAGTCAAAACCGTCTGTAACGCAGAGGATGTTTTATAAGAACCAGCTACCTGGGATGCGTCTGTGAAGACGGAGTTGTTGCCACTGGAAAAGGAGCTATTGATTTCAGCAGCTTGAAAGTGCTTAGCAGACACAGTCGGGCTGCAGAATATGGGCAGTGAGAGAGGGGTGGCCTGTGAAGAGGTGTGAGGCTTTAAGGAGATGACTGAAGGTTGTTTTCTTTTAAATTAAAAGTATCTGTTGTTTGTTTTTTTTTCCCAAGGGTGAAGCGACTCGTCTGCCCTAGCTTGTCAGAGGATGTTTAACTGACAACCCGGCTAGACCACACCATGGAGAAGACAGAGGGTACGGAGGCTACGGGATGTTTATTTGCTCCTTTGTTCCTTGACAAAAAACAACAAACCGAACCCAGCCAACCCCCAAAATAATTTCCTTACCAGAAATACTATAAATAACCTGTTTTCTATAGATATGCAGGAGGGCCAGGAGATGAAAAATGCATCCTTCATGTATTATGCAGGCTTCCTAAACCGCAGCAGAACCATGGTGGCAGCTCACGTTTGTCCTCCTGTCCTCTGCGGCACGTTGGCAGGACAGATCTGCTCTGCTCCCGCTGTCCTGGCTTTGCTCTTGTCCCGTATCACCCTGCATGACCGTTTCCCTCTATTGCTCCTCTGACTTTCATGTCCTGCTTCCCATCAGAAAGGCGGCTGCATCTCGGTGATGCTCCGTGACGAGCGGCACCCAAAGCCGCGCCCAATTCTCCCGCTCCCCGCGATGGGGACAAAGGGAGCAGCCACGAAACCTCGTTTCTCCTGGTCGAGCTGCTCCTCCTCATCCTCACAGAGCTCAGCTTGTTTGCTCAGAGGTGCAAGGCAGTCCAAACCATCATGATGCCCCGCGAAAAAATAAAATGAGCAGCAACGCAGGGGTTCAACTATTCAGACCCTCAGGGCTGAAATTTGGGAGCCCCAAAATTTTGCAGCCTGGATCCGACTGTATGAGGTTGTATCAAACCAGGAGCTGCGCTGCGGGAGCTGGCTGGGTGGGCAAACACTCTCATGTATTTCAGGCCATTTTTGGGTTGGTATTTCCCCTCAATTTCATGCAGCCGGTCACCTTAGGGAGGCACGTGTTTCGCATGGATGCGGAGCAGCCCTGGTTGGCGCTATTTGGGTCCAGCCCCTGCCCGGTGCCCTATTCATCATTTCCAAGGAAGAATTTGTGACCTGGTGTTTGCAGATTGAGCGATGCAGTGATTTTTCCTCACGTCACCTAAAAGTTAAAAACAAACCAAAAAGCCTTGAAAAATGCAGTTGTCACAGATTGGTTCCACCTTCTGGGTCTGAGCTGGAATTATGATACATCAGGCAGCTTTTTGTACTTACGCAGACGTGTGGCTCTGCCTGCAAACCCTGCTGTTTGTTTAATTGCCAGTTAGAGCCATGATTTCAGCAAATTTTCAGCTTCCTCAGTGCAACAATTACCCGATTCACCTCTGGAAAACCAGATCGGACCTTTGCACATGCTGCTGCCTGTGTTTCTGCGCAGCTTCAGCTCCCCCACGAGCCTCCACAATGAACTGCAGCCCCACACCTGCCTGAAACTGAGATTAAAAAAAAAAAAACAGTAACATTTTCCCCCTGCTCTAAGTGTATATTTGTGAGTTAAGGTGGGGGATTTTTTGTCTTTGAAATTTAATCTTTTTTTTCTGGGGGGGTTGTTTCGGTAGAGGGCCAGCCATCCAAACCTGACGGGGAGAGGGAGCAGCCCCGCAGCCTCCCCTACTCCGTGGAGACGCCGTACGGCTTTCACTTGGACCTGGACTTCCTGAAATACGTGGATGACATCGAGAAAGGGAACACCATCAGGAGGATTCACATCCACCGGAAAGCCAAACAGCCGAAATTCAGCACCCTGCCC